AAGCCAGGCTGAGGGACCCCCCCCCCCCCGAGTGCACAAATTTTTCTGCCCCGGGCCTCTAGTACATTTAATAAAAAGAAAGAAAAAAAATAAAAATGAATCTTGTTGCCTATGTTTTCTTCTAGAATTTTTATGGTTTCATCATTTACATGTAAGTCTTTTATCCATTTGAGTTTATTCTTGTGAATGGTGTAAGTTGGTGGTCTAGATTTATCTTTTTGGTATGTATCTGTTCAATTTTACCAGCATCATTTATTCAAGAGACTGTTTTTACTCCATTATATTCTCTTCGCTCTATTTTCAAATATTAATTGAGCATAATGGTTTTGGTTGATTTCTGTGTCGCTGTTCTGTTCCATTGATCTATATGCCTATTCTTATGCCAGTACCAGGCTGTTTTGATTACAGTGATTTGTAGTATAGTTTTATATCTGGTATTGTGATCCCTTCAAGTTTGTTCTTGTTTCTCAAGATTGCTGTGGGTATTTGGGGTATTTTTTGGTCCTATACAACTTTTTAGAATATTTGTTCTAAATCTGTGAAATATGCCGTTGGTATTTTAAGAGGGATTGCCTTGAATCTGTAGATTGCTTTAGGTAGTATGGACATTTTAATTATGTTAATTCTACCAATCCATGAACACAGTATATTCTTCCACTTGTTTATATCTTCCTCTATTTCTTTTTTCAGTGTCCTGTAGTTTTCCAAATACAGGTCTTTTATCTCTATTACCTGGGTTAAGTTTATTCATAAGTATCTTAATATTTTTATTGTAATGGTAAATAGGGTTGTTTTATTCATTTCTCTATCTGAGAATATATTATTGGCGTATAAAAATGCCACAGGCCCTAACCGGTTTGGCTCAGTGGATAGAGTGTCGGCTTGCAGACTCAAGGGACCCAGGTTCGATTCCATTCAAGGGCATGTACCTTGGTTGCAGGCATATCCCCAGTAGGAGGTGTGTAGGAGGCAGCTGATAGATGTTTCTCTCTCATCGATGTTTCTAATTCTTTATCCCTCTCCCTTCCTCTCTGTAAAAAATTAATAAAATATATATTTAAAAATAATAAAAAAATGCCACAGATTTCTGGGTGTTAATTTTGTATCCTTCTACATTGCAGAAATCATTATTCAATCTAGTAGTTGTTTGGTGGAGTTTTTAGGGTTTTCTATGTACAATATCATGTCATCTCCAAATAATGACAGTTTTACTTCTTCTTTCCAATTTGGATGACTTTTATTTCTTCTTCTTATTTGATCCTTGTGGCTAAGCCTTCCAGTACTATGTTGAATAAGAGTGGTGAAAGCAGACATCCCTGTCTTGTTCCTGTTCTTAGGGGAAATGGTTTTAGTTTTTGCCCATTGCATATGATTTGATTGTAGAGTTGTCATATTTGGCCTTTATTGTGTTTAGGAATGATCCCTCTAATCCCCTTTGCTGAAAGTTTTTATCAAAAATGGGTGTTAGATTTTGTTGAATACTTTTTCTGTGTCTATTGATATGATCATGTGATTTTTGTCTTTCAATTTGTTTATGTCATCTATTGACTTGTGGACATTGTACCAGCCTTGCAGCCCTGAAATAAATCTCACTTGATCATGGTGTATCATCTTTTTAATATATTGCTGGATCCAATTTGCTACATTTTGTTGAGGATTTTAGGTCTATGTTTATTGGGGATATTGGCCTGTAATTCTCTTTTTTGGTAGCATCTTTATTTGGTTTTGGAATTAGGATAATGCTGGCCTCATAAAAAGAGCTTGGAAGTGTTCCTTCCTTGGGATTTTTTGGAATAGTTTGAGCATGATAAGTGTTAGTTCTTCTTTGAATATTTGGTAAAAATCCCCCGTGAAGCCATCTGAACCAGCACTTTTGTTTGCTGGGAGTTTTTTTAAATTACTGTTTCAATTTCATCTCTTGTATTAATGTGTTTGCTAATATATCTCTTCAGGAAAGGGAAACAAAGGGAGAAAATAAACAAATGAGACTACATCAAAATAAAAAGATTCTGCATAGTAAAGGAAACCTTCAACAAAATGAAAGGGAGCCCACTATATGGGAGAACATATTTGCCAATGATACATCTGATAAGGGGTTAATTTCCAAAATATATAAGGAACTCATACAACTTAACAAAAGGAAGACAAACAATTCAATTTAAAAATAGGCAAAGGACCCAAATAGACACTTCTCCAAAGTATACATAGAGAAGGCCAAAGACATATGAAAACATGCTCAAAGTCACTAATCATCTGTGAGATGCAAATCAAAACAACAATGAGGTACCATCTCACACCTGTCAGAATGGCTATTATCAACAAATCAACAAATGACAAGTGCTGGCGAGGATGTGGAGAAAAGGGAACCCTAGTACACTGCTAGTGGGAATGTAGACTGGTGCAGCCACTATGGGAAACAGTATGGAACTTCTACTTGACCCAGTGATCCTACTTCTAGGTATATATCCTAAGAAACCTGAAACATCAATCAGAAAGAATGTACTAGTATGCACCCCTATATTCATAGCAGTGCAATTTACAATAGCTAAGATCTGGAAACAGCCCAACTGCCCATCAGCAGATGAGTGGATAAAAAAGCTGTGGCACATTTATACCATGGAATACTATGCAACAGTAAAAAAGAAGGATCTCTTACACCTTGAGACAGCATGAAGGGGTCTGGAGAGGATGATGTTAAGCAAAATAAGCTAGTCAGAGAAAGACAAGTATCACATGATCTCACTCATATGTGGAGTCTAATAAACAAAAAAAAATCTGATGAACAAATAGATCCAGAGGCATAGAAACAAAGATCAGACTGATAAATCTCAGAAGGAAGGTGGAGGTCAGTGGGTGGGAAGAGATTAAACAAAGAATTTATATGTATACTAGAGGCCAGGTGCACAAATTTGTGTACAGGTGGGATCTGGCCAGGCCATCCCGATTGGGGCTGATTGGGCTGGGCTGGCTGGGGGGAGGGGATGTGGGAGATTGGCCAGCTGGTGCCACCATCCACTGGGGTGGGTGAGGGGTTGATTGGAGGCGGGGCCGGCCAGAGGGAGGGGCCACAAGTGATTGGTGGCTGGCCCCGCTCCCTGGTCAAACTCCTGGTTGAAGGGACAATTTGCATATTAGGCTTTTATTATATAGGATAAGCATAACCCTTGGAAACAGACAATAGTATGGTGAAGGCCTGGGGTATGTCATGGGGGCAGGCTAGTAGGGGGTCAGTGGGGGGAAAAAAGGGTAAATATATATATTATATATTACTTTTAACAATAAAGGTAAATTTAAAGAAATGTATCTTGTTGGAGCCATGGCCAGGTGGTTCAGTTGGTTTGGGTGTCATCCTGTACACTAAAATGTTGCAGGTTCTATATTTGGTCAGGGCACATACTTTGTAGGTTTGATCCCTGGTTGGGGTGCATATGGGAGCCAACCAATGGATGATGTATCTCTCTCAAACTGGTCTCTCTCTCTCTCTCTCTCTCTCTCTCTTCTCTCTCTCCTCTTTCTCAAATCAATAAACATATCTTTGGATGAGGATGAAATATAATGTATCTTGTTAAGTAAAAAAGAAAGAAAGAAAGAAAGAAAGAAAGAAAGAAAGAAAGAAAGAAAGAAAGAAAGAAAGAAAGAAAGGAAGGAAGGAAGGAAGGAAGGAAGAAAGAACTGGTATTTAAAATAAATGAGTTGATATATGTTTAGCAATATAAATAGATCCCAGAAATTGTGTTAAGTGAAAAAAAATAAGTTGAGAATATTTAGTGATGTCATTTATGTGAAAAAATACAAGGGACATCCAAACCAATAACAAAAATTGTAGAATCTAATAGGTTCACGCAGTATTTACAAATTCATGGAACAGTTCTGGAAAGATATACAGCAATCTAATATCTCCAGAGCAAGGGCGTAATGTCTGGCCCTCAAACTGTATAAGGCCCACAAAATCATGTGGTCTGGCCTTGCGAAGACATTAGGGGTGAGTTAATTAAATGTTTGACCAAATATAGCAGGCTAATTTTGTATGGCCCACGAATGATATTATAAATATCCAAATGGCCCTTGGCAGAAAAAAGTTTTCCCACCCCTCTGGGGAGAGCATTGAATTTTTGGAATGGTAGTCAAAGTATAGTCTAATCTTATCTGTTATACTTAAATTATTTTACAAAGAATATGTATAAGTATGTCACATAAATAAAACATAAAATTATATATATTTTTATTTTTTTTCAGAACTAGGAATGATAAAATTTTGTTAGAAACTGTAAGTATGGCACTCTCAATTTGAAATTGTACTTTGTCCTTGTTGTTAATGGATTCTAGAAATTGTCAGAATATGTCATCTTAAAGATCCAATGATTAATTAGTTTATTCAAAAGATTTCTATACATATGTGAGCTGGAAAGCTTTTTTTTATTTTTTTTTTATTTTACTAGACCTTATTATCTCTCAGAAATACTTCACTTATGAATACTTAACTGTAATATCCTTTAGTTTTCTAAACTTTAATTCATTGTCACTTCTAGTTCCTTTTGCCTATTTCTGCCTCAATTACAACTTCCCATTACAGATTAGTACCAATGGTTCATTCTTTTCATGATTTAATGAAGACTTTCTTACTTTAATAATTAAGTACTCAAATAAATTCTCTATATTGATATTTTGCTTTTCATTGTTACTAAAATTATAATATTTGTTTTTAGAAATACAAACAGATGCAAAATGATTTCCAAATGTTATCAGAGAAGAAATTGATGCTGGAAAGTGAACTAGAAAAATTGAGGATTATAGAGGTTAGTTAAATTTTAGTGACTGAAAATGGAATACAGTACCTGAAAAGCCTTATTATATTAAAAAAGGAATAAATATATATTTAAATGTTTTATTATACATTTTCAATATTTATAATTGGTAACATCTGTATTTTAAAACTTAAAAAATGATGTATTTAAATTATATTATTTATGAAAACCAAAAGAATGCTATAAAAAATAGACTAAATTTTAAACATTCTGAAAGACATTTCTAGACCAAATATTTACCTTTATTTAAAATACCAATCAATTAAGGTTTTCAAATACATCTTAAATGCATTTTATTGTATTTTATTGTATTCTTTGCAATTATATAATGTGTGTCCCAGTTCATTAAACCAAATAGAGAGAATAGAAGTATCCAGCATAAAATTTGTTTCCTAATTTTATCCACTTTGCAATTTTTATAAAGCTTATAAATTTCAAAATGTAGACAACAAAGTCAAATGGACTGGAAGCAAATTTTTACTAACTACTTAAAACCATAGGATGTATGTTTTAACATGAAATCAACATAAATTGAAGGAAAATACTCTTTCTTAACTGTACTAATGGTGGTTACCAAATAATGTTTCCTTACCAGATGAGGAAGCAGAAGTAGTACCAGGACGTTTTCTACTTAATCAGTTAGAGAAGTAGTGATCCTACACAGGTGTCAAATATAAGGTCAGGACTGTCAAACACATCCAATTAGGAATAGTTCCAGTTAGGTATAGTTCCAACTAGAAATAGAAAATTAATTAATTAAATAAATAAAAATAAAGTAGTAAATTATATATATATATCTAAGTGACCATTACAACCGAATGACTGGAATGACCAGCTGGTAGCTGTGACGCACACTGACCCAGACCTTGCTGCTGGTGCCCTGATAGCCCCAAATCTGGTTCACCCGCACCCCGGACCGAGACAGGAGGGAGGAGGGAGCCCGATTCCTCACGGAACCGGCCGTTGATTTGCTTGCTGTGGGGGCCAACCTCCCATGGTCTCGTCCCCCAGCACACTGGCCCCCAGATCAGCTCCGATCACTGGCCAGGCCGAGGGACCCCACCTATGCACGAATTCATGCACCGGGCCTCTAGTATTAAATAATTGAGTAGTGTGGCCAAATGTAAGCATTTTGCAACACTTAATCATGCACCATAACATCCACATTTAAAAACCACAACAACACCTTTAGAGTGGGTTTCTGTTCAAGATGCCTGTGTAGGTAAATACTGTGCACACCTTCTCCCACACCGCATCAAAAGTACAAAAAACCATCATTCAGAACTGCCTGAAGTTTAGCTAAACAGAAATCCTTATAACTAAGGATATACAGAAGAGGCCTCATATTTATTAGTAGGAGGGGTAAATATGTGGAATGGGCTGGTCCCACACTCACATGTGTGGGTTACAAATCAGAAGGGATATCTCGGATGTGGAGGTCCTCCCTGATGAGGGAGGGGTCCCAATGCTGGGAAGAGAAGTTCCCATAAATTCTGGATGTGAAAACTAGTGGGGACTGTGGCTGAGTAAGACAGGAGGCTGCTTGAGTCCCCGAAGTTCCTCCTAATGTTAGGGCCTGCACATGGACTTACTTGGATTCACTCACTCCGAACTCTAGCACTGCAATAACAACTTGAAAAGCACCAGGAATATATGGGATGGAACTGAATTGTCTATCAAGGGCTGGGGGGACAGCATTTTCCCAGACAGAAGTGCTGACAGAAACCATTATTCCTTTCCTAAGCCCTCCCCACACAGAGTTGGCAGGCAGATGCCATATTTGAATCTCTATCAACCTGCCCTGGCCTGGTGATTCCCTGAGACTCTACCTCACTCAATTTGCAGGCCTACAAAAGCTGCTTTTCCATTCAAATGGCCTTTATTGGCTCATGATGTGGACTTTCCTAAAATCTCTCAAGTAACATCTCGCCTTTGGATGCCTTGGACTGCTTACTAAGCAGCCCTAGGCCCAGCACTAGCTACAACTGGCCTTGGTTTGCAGCTTGGCCTCTTTTGGGCACCTCCGAACCCAGCAAAACTAGCAGCCATCTGCAGATCACTTTGTAGCTCATGCCTAGTGGCCCTGGATAGGGCACGGGTGGTGGCTGACCTTGCCTGTATTTCTCCGGAGGCCCCAGAGCCATCACACCTTGTAGAGAGCTTCAGACTTCAACAAAGCACCACCAAACCATTTCCACAAGCAACACAGTTAAGGGACAGACTCAATGAGCACCATAGCCCTGCTGAAGCCAGTTCTGCTCTGTGGGGTCAGCCCTTGAACAACAGATTCTCCATGGTAGTTGTAGCCAGTCCTTGCTACCAATTGGACTGGAGATAGATCCCTCCCCTTGATGTACCATTAACAATCAAGGCTTAACCACAACAGAAAGGTGCACACAGACCATACAAGGTGGGGGGTGTGCGCCTGGAGTGCCCAGGTAAGGTGAATGGGGAGGCTGTGCCACTGTGCCCTACAGAAAACCTACTATATTAGGCCACTCTATCAAGACCAGGAGATATAGCAGCTCTACCTGATACATAGAAACAAACACAGGAGGAAGCCAAATGACTTGATCAAGAAATATATCCCAAATGGAAAAAAACTCCAGAAAAAGAACAAAACAAAATGGAGACAAGCAATCTATCAGATGCAGAGTTCAAAACACTGGTTATAAGGATACTCAATTATCTCAGTAAGAACTTCAACAAAGAGATAGAAAACATACCAAGGAGATACATAGAAAAGCACCAGTCAGAAATGAAGAATACAATAACTGAAATAAAGAGTACATTACAGAGAGTCAATAGTAGAGTAGATGAAGCAGAGAATACCACATAAGAACAGAAAAGAAAGAAAGAAAAGGAATTTCAAAAATGAGGATAGTTTAAGGAGCTTCTGGGATAACTTCACATAATCATTAAAAATTGAAGGTGAAGTAAAGAGCTTCCGAGACAAGCTAAAAGCTAAAAGAGTTTATTACCACCAAACCAGTATGATAAAAAAGGTTAAATGGTTTTCTTTTAGAAAAGGAAAGGAAAAAAAGAGGAACATAGTTAGAAAGAATAAAATGGTAATAAATATATACCTATCAATAATCACTTTAAATGAAAATGGGTTAAATGCTCCAATCAAAAAAGACATATAGGACTGAATGGATAACAAAACAAGACCCTTACGTATGCTGTCTATGAGAGACTTCAGATTGAAAGACATATACAGATGAAAAGTAAAGGGATGGAAAAATATTTCATGAAAATGGAAACAAACAACAACAACAACAAAAACCCAGAAAGCTGGGGTAGCAATACTTATACCAGACAAAATAAACTTTAAAACAAAGGCTATAATAAGAGACTCAGAAATACCCATCAATTCCACTTCTGGGTATTTATCTGAAGAAACCCTAGATACTAAATTGAAAGGCTAAATACATATATTTGTTCATTGCAGCTATGTTTACAATAGCCAAGATATGGAAGAAACATAATTGTCCATGAATAGATGAATAGATAAAAATGTGGTGCATACATACAATGAAATATGACTCAGCCATAAAAATATCTCACTATCTCCAACAACATGGGTAGACCTAGAGGTTATTGTGCTGAGTGAAATAATTCAGATAGAAAAAGACAAATGCCAGATCATTTCACTTATATGTGGAATCTAAAAAACAAAATAAATGAACAAGCAAAACAGAAACAGACTCATAGATACAGAGAATATGTTGATGGTTGCTGGATGGGAGGAGGTTTGGGGGACAGGTAAAAAAGGTGAAGGGATTAATAAATACAAATTGGTAGTTACAGAATAGTCATGGGGTTGTAAAGTACAGCATAGGGAATATAGTCAATAATGTTGTAGTATCTATGTATGATGTCAAATGAGTTAACTAGATTTATCAGGGTTATTACTTAGTAAGTTATATAGTTGTCTAATTACTGGGTTGTCCACCTGAAACTAATACAATATTGTATGTCAACTGTAATTGAAAAATTAAAAAAATATTTAAAAATTGTGGGGCTTCTTAGATAACTCTAAGGTGCTGCAGCAGTTTCTGGTTTGCTTTCTTGTATTGTTTCTTTAGGTTTTGTGTGTGGAAACATAAAGAAGTATAGAAACGTGAAGGAAAAATATGGAAGGATTATGTCTACATGTATAGTAGTAGTATTATATCCCAAGATATCTATGAGGATAAAACCCAAGATATCCTTGAACCCAGGGGTGCATATATTCTTTCCAATTCATGTTTTCAGTCTTCTTAAGATATATTCCTAGAAGTGGGATCACTGGCTCAAATGGCAGTTTCATTTTTAATTTTTTAAGGAAACTCCATAGTGTTTTCCATACTAGCTGCACAGTCTGCATTCCCATCAGCAGTGTACTAGGGTTCCCTTTTCTCGAAATCCTTTCCAGCACTTGTCATTTGTTGGTGTGTTGATGGTAGCTATTCTGACAGGTGTAAGGTATATCTCATTTTGGTTTTAATTTGCTTTTCTCTGGTGATTAGTGATGTTGAACATCCTATTTAATAATAGACAAACATGGTAATTAACCATACCTCCGCTACGCTTCCCATTGGCTAATCAGGGTGATATGCAAGTTAACTGCCAACAAAGATGGCGGCCGGCAGCCAGGCAGCTGAAGCGAACATGAGGCTTGGTTGC